TACTTATAATAATATAAAATATTTTGTGTGTTGTGTTGGTAGTGTTACAAAGTGTATACGAAAATAGTAGGAATATACTAAATGGCAACATTTGAATAGAGTAAAATGATTTCAGTCATTTGATATTCCCAAAAATGTTTGTTTTTTTCTGTGGCTTTAATTAAAATACATTTTTATTTGAAAAATCATAGAAAAGTAATACAACTCATTTTATATATAACTTATTTCTAGACGCTATAATTTTTGTCAACTATTTTTCTGCCATTGCTTTTTTGGTTATGGGTTGGTTTAGGGAACCTTTTAGCTTAGAGGTCGTCTATGTGATTGTGTAGGGGATGTTGGTGAAATTGGGCATGAGACAATTTGTAAAGATGCTAGTGTGCGTGAAAAATTATTGTATATGCCAGCAGCTTAACTATTACCCGATTAACGGGAAAATTTATTTTATGCTATGGCTTAGTAGTTAAGTTCATAGTTATGAATGTATTCCAGAAATACTTATAAATGAATAGTTTAATAAAACGAATGTATCAATATATTTGTGTATATTATGTATAGGTTTTTCTTCTGAATAAATGACATATAAATGATAAGGCCTCATTTTTCTCTCTTCCCCTCTCCTCCTCAGATAATCCTATAATATTGCAGCGCAACTTATCTATCTCTTCTTTCAACTCCAGGATCTCCTCGTCAGTCGTCAGGGTACGTGCGTTAAATGTAGCCAGGTGGAGTCGTCTTAGTTGGCAACCAAAGCTCCACCGGAGATCCTTAGCACCCCCTGCCCCGCCGTTGCCATGATTGCCACCGTAACCAGCATATTTACCGTGCCGGCTACCCGCGATCCACAGCTGTCACACGGTTTTTATTCTGAATTGCCGCTCGAGTAGTATACAAGTCTTTGACTTATATAGAATTTAACAAAAAGTTCAAACAATCGTGAAGATACATTTCACTTTACAACAACACCTAACTAAACAAAGCCTCTGCAAGAAAACTGCCTTACAGTACTTAAACATTTCCTTCATTAGCGTAAGATAATCTATAAGATCAAAGTAAACCTGAAATAAAAAAAAATTGTAGTGAAGTAAGTTTCTTTCACTTTAATTTATATTTAGCTGCCACGGCAGGAGTTTCATGTTTCAGTTTCACTCCGAATTCAGTCTGGACATTTTACAGTGTAAATATGAAATGAATTAATAACTCGACTACAAGAGCCATATTGTACGGAATAATAGAACGAGTAGAAAAACCTTTACGTGCCTTGTATTGTGCTAATTGAAACTGCATTTATTCTGAAGAAGCTGATTCAAAAACCAAAAAAATTGAACTTTAAAATATGAAACAAATGGGAGGTTAGTGGAAACAGACCAGACCATGTTTTTTTTTTTATTTAATTGATTGCTAATGTTTATCCTTTTTTTCGTTACGACGCTTATTTTGTTATTGTTAGCGCCTATTAAAGTCGACTGCTGAACATAGGCCTCCCGCATATATTGCCTCATAGGGGGATATTTGCCATAGTTGCCACGCTTGGCACGCGGGTTGGCAACACAATTTTTATTTTTATTTTTGTAGGAATACGCTGCTGCACGTCTTCTGATTTGTTTCTTTCTGTCGCCTCTACGACACACACGGGATGATAAGGGGTAGTGGATATTCTTATATCTATCATCATCATCATCATTACAGCCCTTCACAAGTCCACTGCTGAACATAGGCCTCCCCCAAGGAATGCCACAAAGCACGGTCCTGAGCCACCTGCATCCATCGACTTCCTGCATATCTTACCAGGTCGTCACTCCATCTAGTGGGGGGACGCCCTACACTTCGTCCGCCGGAACGAAGCCGCCACTCGAGAACCTTTTTTCCCCATGGGCTGTCGGTTCTTCGAGCTATATGGCCGGCTCATTGTCACTTCAGCTTACTAATCCGTTGGGCTATGTCGGTCACTCTAATTCTACTGCGGATAGATAGATAACACTTTATTGTACGCCAAAAAATAACAAAAATATTACTAAAAAGTAAGAAAAAGAAATGTGGTACAATGGGCGGTCTTATCGCTAAGAGCGATCTCTTCCAGACAACCTTTGGATGGACGGCATTGCAAGAAAACAATAAAAACGTGTGTGGTTTGCTGACAAAATAACATTATTTTTATTAAAGCCATAAAATAAAAATATATAATTTCTAAGTTTATCACGCAGAGAAACTCCGAGCATAGCCCTCTCCATAGCTCGCTAAGTGACTTTGAGCTTCCAAGTAGTGAAGGACCACGTCTCAGTACCATAGGTCATCACGGGCAACACGCACTGATTGTACAGTCTCGTTTTCAAGTTTTGAGGTATACCTGACGAGAAGTGTGCCGTAATTTGCCGAACGCTGCCCAACCGAGTTGAATCCGTCGATTGACCTCTCGGTCGAAGTTGGACTTACCTAGTCGGACTATTTGTCCCAGGTAAACATACTCGTCAACAACTTCGAGCTTAGTGCTCCCAACAACTACCGGCATAGGTGTGACATGGACATTAAACATGATCTTTGTTTTGTCCATGTTCATCTTAAGACCTATCCGTTGGGAAGCACTATTGAGGTCATTGAGCATAGTGCTTAGGTCCCCAGCGGTTCTGCCATAAGGACTATATCGTCGGCAAATCGAAGGTGAGTGATGTACTCGCCATTGATGTTAATACCGTATCCTTTCCAGTCCAGAAGCTTGAAAACGTCTTCCAATGCAGCGGTGAAGAGTTTCGGGGATATAACGTCACCCTGTCTTGCAATTCGATAGGTTTCGTACTCTGGATCTGTACTCGGATAGGCATCGTAGCCCTACTGTACAAACACTTCAGCACTTCGATATACCGACAGTCAACTTGGCATCGCTGAAGGGACTGCAGCACCGCCCAAATTTCTACGGAATCAAAGGCGTTCTCATAGTCCACATACGCCAGACATAGTGGCAAATTATATTCCTCGGACTTCTGTACAATTTGCCGAAGGGCATGTATGTGGTCTATGGTGTTAAAGTCTTGTCGGAAACCGGCTTGTTCGAGAGGCTGGAAGTCGTCAAGTCTGCGCGCGAGACGATTCGTAATGACTCTCGAAAATATCACGTAGACGAGGCTCAGAAGGGAAATTGGTCTGTAGTTCTTCAAGAGAGCGTTGTCACCTTTCTTGAAGAACAAGACCACCGCACTTCTGCTCCACGCCTCCGGTGTAATGCCACCATGGAGGACAGAATTAAAGAGCTTCTGAAGGATTTAAGTACCTGTTTTCCACCCGCATTTTTTTATAGGGTAAAGGTGACAAACGAGCACGCAGTCCACCTGATGGTAAGTGGTTGCTGTGGCCCATAGACATCTTCATCTATCTTCGATTAAAAATCAAAATGCAGATGCGTTGTCACCCGTGAGGACTAAGATGTAATGACTCGTTTCCAGTAAAAAGGGTCTCCGGTTCTCTACACTCACCATATGAAACACAGCAGCGTTAAGCTGCTATTTTACGCTGGTATTCTGTGAGAGCATGGTCCTTCCCCGGTCGAGCCGACCCATTCGTGCTACAACTATACTACTAATATAGCTGCAGCATGGCTCTACCACGTATAAAAGCGCTTTCAGAAGCTCCGCTGTAATTCCATCTTTGCCTGGGGCCTTGCCGTTTTTAAGGTGCTGGAGAGCCATTCTAATCTCGCTCAGACTGACGTCCGGGATATCATCGGAATAGTGTCGGATAAGACTCGCTCTTGGATCGTTACTCACACTCGCGAGTGGCTCCAACGATGACGTGTACAGCTGCCCATAGAACCTCTCAATCTCACTCAAAATCTCAGGTGTCCCACAAACGACGCTGCCACACTCGGTCTTCAGCTTCGACAGTTGGCTCTTTCTGGCAGACAGATCTCTAGCAAAGACTTTGGAGCCCAGGTTCCGCTCGATCGCTTCTTTAATACAAGCTGTATTGAAGTTGCGTAAGTCCCGCCGCTTGCATTTGGAGATCTGTCTGTTCAGTTGCCTGTATGCTGTCAAATCTGTTGAAGAGTGTAGCTTCATCTCCCGTCTAACAGCCATGAGATTAAGAGTGTGATCGGAGAGTTTTTGTGTTCTTCTGCGGCGGGTCTCGCAAAACTTAGCTCCGACCGCATGGACAGTTTCCACGAGCTTGTCATTCATATCGTCCACTTCATTGCAGTCTTCTAGGCACTGAAAACGGTTTCGTAGCTCGAGCTGAAAGTTTTCGGGATTTTGGAATGACGTGACATCTCCAACTTAACGTTAAGGTTCAGCCTGCCTCTCACCATTCGGTGATCGCTGCCGGTTTTCACCCTCAAGATCACTGAGACATCACTGAACAGTTGTCGTCTGGTCTTCATAATAAAGTCAATCTCATTTTTGTCGAACCGTTGGGGCTCGACCAGGTCCACTTCCTGTCGGGCCGCTTCTGGAAGAAAGAGTTCATCATAAAGTGTCCCTCTTTCTCCATGAAGTCGGTCAGCTGCTGGCCCCTTGGGTTCCGTTGCCCTAATCCGAAATTCCCTAACTTCAGCTCACCGTTCTCTCTTGTGCCTAGTTTTGCATTGAAGTCTCCCATTAACACCGTATACTGGGTTTTGGAGGAATGCATGGCTCTAGAGATATCCTCATACATTTCCTCCACCTCCTCATAGGGGTGTGCCGAGGTTGGTGCGTAAACCTGTATGACCTACAACGAATACCGTTTGGTGATTCTGAGTATAAGGTACGCAACCCTCGTCGACACACTCGACTCGTATATCTATATATTATATCTAGGCGACGGAGGAAATAAACCAGATGGGCAGCAGCGTCTTCCTAATAACAAATAAAAATAAAAAACCGCTGTTGCCAACCCACCTGCATGCCAACTATGGCAAATATCCCCCCATGAGTCAATCCGTGGGGGAGGCCTATGTTCAGCAGCGGACTTTTATAGGCTGTAACGGTAACGATAAATGTCGAAACGAATAAATAAAAACAAACTAGTATGATTTAAATAAAATTTTAAAAAAAAACATGAAGGTCCGGTCTGTTTCCACTAACCACTCGGTACATATTTCAAGGTTAGATTTCACTTGGTTGCTTCTTTGGTTTTTGAATTAGCTTCTTCAGAATAAATGAAGTTTCAATTAGCACATATGACACGGAAAGGTTTTTCTACTCGTTCTACAGTTACATAAGGAACTCATGACAAATGGATTTTTATCTAGTATACTTTTATATTTATATAAAACACGTTTACATAATATTGCACATATTTTACCAGATCTCTCACAAAAAAGGTTCTGCTCAAGTGTGTGTTTTCATATGCCTTTGCAAACTACTTTTCTCTATACATTTATATTCACAGATATTACATGAAAAAGGTTTTTCTGCTGTATGTATTTTCATATGTGATTGCAATTGACTTTTTCGAATGCATTGATATTTACAGATGTGACACGAAAAAGGTTTTTCTCCAGTATGTATTTTCATATGCATTTGCAAATCACTTTTTTGAATACATTTATATTCACAGATATTACATGAAAAAGGTTTTTCTCCAGTATGTATTTTCATATGCCTTTGCAAATCCATTTTTCGAATACATTGATATTTACAGATATGACACGAAAAAGGTTTTTCTCCAGTATGTATTTTCATGTGTGTTTGCAAATAACTTTTTTGAATACATTTATATTCACAGATATTACATGAAAAAGGTTTTTCTCCAGTATGTATTTTCATATGCCTTTGCAAACTACTTTTCTCTATACATTTATATTCACAGATAGTACATGAAAAAGGTTTTTCTCCAGTATGTTTTTTCATATGTGATTGCAAATGACTTTTTCGAATGCATTGATATTTACAGATGTGACACGAAAAAGGTTTTTCTCCAGTATGTATTTTCATATGCTTTTGCAAATCACTTTTTTGAATACATTTATATTCACAGATATTACATGAAAAAGGTTTTTCTCCAGTATGTATTTTCATATGTGATTGCAATTGACTTTTTTGAATACATTGATATTTACAGATATGACACGAAAAAGGTTTTTCTGCAGTATGAATTTTCATATGATACCACAAATTACTTTTATCAATACATTTATATCCACAGATATTACACGAAAAAGGTTTTTCTCCAGTATGTTTTTTCATATGCCTTTGCAAATAACTTTTTTCTATACATTTATATTCACAGATATTACATGAAAAAGGTTTTTCTCCAGTATGTATTTTCATATGTCTCTGCAAACGATCTTTTTTAATACTTTTATAATCACAATTATTACAACAGTACACTTGTTCAGCAACATGCGCTTTAAGATGTGCCAAAATGCGACCTTTTTGAGTTGTTTTAAATTCGCAAATATCACAATGAAATATTTCCGTTAGTTGTGGTACTGGAGTTTGTTCAACTTGTGTCCTTTCTAAATCAAGGTTTACTTTACGAACATCGTTTATGTTACAATCAGTAGAATTTGATTTAATCTTGCTCTCAGACGCTTTTGAAAAATGATTTGTCGGTATGATGTATGGTTCTGAAATACACACGAATTGAACATTTAATTTATTATAAGTAAAACTTTTTATTGTAAGACACCTTCATTCTCTATCAGTCAACCAGGAAGAAATAGATAAATTATAAAATTACATAATTATACAATGTTGCTAGATATAAAGTATTTTACTTTTAATAATGTCTCTCATATTCATTTTTGGAGGGAAAGAATGGTAGAGAAACTAAATTCGAATGATAATGATGACGTCCTTCTCACCATGTTACAATTACCTACCTTAATCTAATAATAGATGCTTCGAATCGCACACGGGACAAGCATTATACAGAATGATTGGAAGATTGACTTGTTGATTGAAGAAGATCATTTAGGTCATAATTATTTTAGACAGTCTGACTATACTTTTTGTTTTTGGTGATAAAACTAAAATTTTTACAGTTAGTTGCTAATAATTGCCAATTTAATTAACGTCCGTTTTTTTTTAATTTAAGTAATGAATAAGAAATCTAAGAAAACATAGTCTCAGTATCTGTGTCATCAGACATATTTTTGTACAGACACTAAGTTCACGAAAATTTTCTACGATTTAAAGAAACATAATTAACATTTTAAATAATAAACATTTTTGACACTACGTTAAAAAAAACTGATGGTACTTTAATTTATTGTTAGAACCTTTTTGAAAACATACTTGGTAATAAGAAATGCAGGAACGCGATGGATTCCTGTGCATTGTGGCATTCCGTGGGTGAGACCTATGTTCAGCAGTGGACTTGTGAAGGCTGTAATGATGAAGATCTAATGATGCAATGCGCTCATCTTTTCATTTTAATTTTTATAGGATAGGGTGACAAACGAGCACACAGTCCACACGATGGTAAATGGTCGCTGTGACCCATAGACATATACATCTGTCCTCAATAAAGAATCAAAATGCAGATGCATTGTCACCCATGAGGACTACGATGGAATCCCTCTTTTCCAGTAAAAAAGGAATCCAGTTCTCTACAATCACCATACGAAACACAGCAGTGTTAAGCTGCTATTTTACACTGGTATTCTGTGAGAGCATGGTCCTTCCCCCGTCGAGCCGACCCATTCGTGCTATAACTATACTACTAATATAGCTGCAGCATGGCTCTACCACAACTAAAATGGAATGACCCACAGCCTGTGATTATTCTGACTCTATACCCATCAGAATGGAACACAGCAGTGCATGCACTGCTATTTGACGGCAGAAATAGGTAAGAGGAGGCGGGAGGAGTCCATCTGGGCAGGCACAATTAGATCAACTCTTAGGCAAACATGGAGTCACACCACCTAGTACTGACGCTAAGAAGATGGCAAAGATAATTGGTTGCTTACCAGTATGTATCTTAGTGACATACAAACTAGCTGACAGGGTAAAAATATTTTTTTAATGTATTAATAAGAGTGCTTTTGACATGCACTTTGAATTTAAACAAAGGTAAATCAGTAATTCAGTACATTACACATGAAGCCCTCTTTATTTTGTGTCTACGGGCTACAGTAACCACTTGCCATAAGGTAAATTGTACCTTATTTTAGTAATATCAAAAAAGGGGTATATCTTACCTGTTTCATGATTCTCATTTACTTCCAATTTGGAATTCTCATATTCGAAAATCTCCTCCTCAACTTTAACGGCATCAAGGCAAAAAATTTCGTCCTTGCAATCATTGTCTATATCACACTCTACAGGCCAGATGTCTATATGATAAATTGGTGTGAATTTAATCTCACCTCTAACCTTATGCGGTTTTGGTATTGACTGAAAGGAAATAATTTTTTCAAATGAGAGAAAAAGCCACTATAGTGGTGGAGTAGGAGAACCCATACTACCCCCTGCCATCCCGCAGATGTCGTAAAAAGGGGCAGAGGGAAACTGAAACAGGAGATCGGGGGGCAGCATCTTCCTGACAACAACTTCAAATAATAATAAACACTGGACAAAAGTGAGGGTTCAGCGTAAACTTAAATAAGAATGTACATAGTTCATCTATCCCGAGAATCGTGTCTCAACAACTTTTGGATTCAGATTCACGAAAGCTGTAAATTGACAAAGATTTATCTTTATTATTGAGATTTGTTTATATACAATAGGGTAATATATAACAGTATAAACAGTTTGATAATTGTTTTTGTAAAAATAAGGACTATTGCTCTAACAAAAGTAAGTTGGATTGAAGGACAAACTTAACTTTGAACACTAGAAACATTCTCCCATATAGCAATGGGAAGCAGCATAGAAAAGTGGATTGTGCAGTGACAGTGTAAGAATATCCACTATCACCAGGGTTGGCAACCTTTTATATATATATATATATATATATATATATATATGGTATTATTAGATAATCACTTATTATTTAAGTAAAAAATTAAAACAAACATTTATTTACATTGTAAGTCTTACAACACTAACTTATACTTCAAGTACAAACAATTGAGCAAACAAATTCAATGGGAGTTTTGGCTTTGCATGGTTTTAGAAAGTTTGGATAAATTTGGCTTAAATAACTTGTTGTTTTAAGTTTCAAACACGAATCTGAATTTTACTTTTAATTATATTCATGCAAGAGAATGCTTGCTCGCACGAATATGTCGATCCGAAGATAGTCAGCACTCCAAATGCCAACTTCTTCACCTCACTATAGCAATCTGGAAGACTATTCCATGCGTCAAATATAACTCAACTCGCAGCCTTTCTTTTAAAGCCGTTCATTTTTGTTGCGTTACGTACATACATTTCTGGACCTCCAACTTTTTCAACTTCCTTATCAACTCTGTAAATTTTCAACTCCACAAAGGTTTACTTTTTAAATCGATCAATTGGATTTCTAGAGATCCACTATCAACCCCAAATGGCTCAGTATGGATCGATTTATAATTTTTTTTATAAAATAAATAATATTTGCGTATGAAACTAGAGCCGCAGCTTCACATCCAAAGAGCCGCAGGTTGCCGACCCCTGCACTATCCTATATACCTATCCACGGGATGGGTGTCGTAAGAGGCAACAGAAGGAAACAGAAACAGAGGTAGGGCGGCCGCATCTTCCTGATGACAACTTAGACTAATATAAACTACGGTTGCCAACTTGCCAAGTGTGGCAAATTTGGCAAAATCCCTCCTATGAAGCAATCTATGAGTGAGACCTATGTTCAGCAGTGGACTTTTATAGGTTTTAATGGATGGAATGGATAATACCATGGATCCTCCTGAAAGCAACTGCTCCAGAACCACATTTGACTCAATAGCCTGTTGTTGTAATCTTCTGCAACGAATGAGTCTTGCATGACAGGTGAAACAGACAATTATTGGTCCCTCATTCTCATCCAACTGAAAATATGAAAATCTTCATAAATAAGAAATAGTATTCAAATACATAAGTGTATATAAGTTTGTAATAAAAATTATTTGCTACCATATTTTAATTTGTCAACATCATTTTTTATAATATTGAAGTGACAAATAAACTTACCATCTAGTAAGTGACTAATGGGCATCATGGGCACCTGCAACGAACTTCAAGCAATGGCTATAGATGCAATGTTACCTCTGAAGACTAAGATGTAATGCATCACAGCCTGGGTCTCGATGTCCTTCAGACTGGGACACATACTGTTGCTTGGTGCCAGAAAATGGTAAGAGGATGATATCTAGGCAGAAAGAAACTCCTACAGTTCCAAGCCACCTACATCCATCAACTACATTACCTACATTAACTTCAAACTGCTATCATCACTAAGAACATTACAAATACTTCTCTTATCACTATAAGTGAACTGATAATGCTTGTGGTAGGAGGATATTGAAACAAAACACAGGATGGTGGGTGGTACTACACATTCCGTGAAAGTGTAGTACCACCCCGGTCGAGCCGACCCATCCATGATGCAACCTTAATATAGCTGCAGTCCGGCTCTACCACATATAAAATAATGATAATAAGTCTTTCTACTCTATTCTCTCATTTTAATAGTCCGATAGAACTGTTTTAATTTGCTGAACAACCAAACCAAGGTAAATGTTAATTTGTTGATAAAAATCACAATAATAGTCATTCAAGTAATATGTACTAGAACAGACACCAGGAACAAAATCTATGCAGCAGTGCGGGTTGCATGGAAGGAATGGAAGGAGAATGTAGTACAATTAAGACCCAGATATTTGACACTTCACTAATCTACATGCTCAGCTTTGGAAAAATCTAATAGACTGTAGACAAGCTAGGGAGGCCCTGCCTGAAATAAACAGTTGTTTAACCAAAGTTCTAATGAGACTGAACAAGCCGCAGACCAGTATATAACAAGTGCTATCACAGGACATGGCAACTTTAACAAGCATTTATTTACTATAGGTGTTACAGATAATCCCCTGTGCAGGGCATGTCTGGGGGAAGAAGAAATGGCGGCCCATGTGATATTGAAATGTCCAGAGGTCGCTACGTACAGGGCTAAACATCTCGGCACGCCGAGGTCACTGCCCGAAGTTGCATGCAACATCAAAGGACTGTTGAGCTTCTTCGGGGAGATCTCATGGCTCGAATAAGCATATTATTCCTGCCCACACGTAAAATACACACATAGATGTGGAGTTGCGGAAATCAGCACGTTGTAAACTATACTAAACTAAGACCCAGATACACTAGGAGCCATTTTGTCCCGCAAGATGATGTGGAACACTCAATCTACATGACGATGCTACATTGCACAGTGACCCAGAACATTGTTAGTGACTTGGGACATGTTGCTTATTCCCTCTCCGAGAGAGAGTACACGTGTCCGGCGTCAGTGTCACGTCATTTGTTACCGGGTGTAGTTGTGTGTACAACTTTACTTGCAACATGTCAGTTGTGTGGGGAAATTAAACCGTGCTTTTACTTCTTGAACTTAACCAGAGTCATATTTTGTTATGGGATACTTCTAACCACTAACTTCTGGTGCTATTCTGCCGATCAGTTGTTTCAACACTCGAAAAGTGTATGACAAAGAAGCATAAAAAACTCTAGTCAACAAGTATCTTAATGCAATTGCAAGTCTGATACTGATATGAGGGCAACAGCATTCCATAGTATAGTATCCTGTTTGGTTATGGAAGATCCGATCATTTGTTATAACGTTTCAAAATCAGATGTTGACATTCGAGTAAAATTCACAAAAGATCCGTCAGACATTCGGAGATCACTTAAAATATCTATTCCTCTTCCTTCTCATTGTAGTAAGGAATTCTGATTCCACCACCTTTACTTTCGCTTACGTTTCACTCCCGCAATAAGCACTACGTACACAGCACTAATCGCCACAACCTCTTTGGGAGACATTTCTATAAGCACTGACTACTGACTAGTGTGGCCTGCAAAAAGTTCCGCGACATGTCTCGGGACATTCCACGTATTAGTTGAGACATGTTGCGCAACATGCCGCTCCTTCCGTACCCAAGTATATATCCTACTGGGCTTTACTTACATGATAATACTGATTTTAGTGCGACCCAGGATACCAGGCTAATTGTTATTTTTCAGGTTCTGGTTGTATTTGTCACTATATTTAACGCTACATCTTAGAACATATATCGGGCAACATAATGTATTTCTTCAGTGATAACAATAAATTACCGCAACTTCATTTAGCAATAAATAAATATTAAAAAACTTACAAAACTGTTCGTCAATGTCTTATACAAATTTTGGAGGCCAGTCTCCTTTAGTGCAAACATGCGTATATTAACGCTTAAACAAATTCTACAAACTTCACCTTCACTAAAGGCCATTGCTGTTTTCTATAGCTTTATTAAAATTGATTATTGAATTCTCTTTTTATCAACATACCGGACTCACAAACTATATAGACACACTACGCGTGACCGGACTCAAAGAGAATATAATCACTACCAGTGTGACCATCTTTAAAATACAGATCCTGCCATACTCTGGTTAAAAACCTGCCAAATCCTGCCAAAATCTGTAATAAAATGCCTAAATACTGCCAACTTTATTTACCATTGTATTATACTAAGAAACGTCAAAATACACATATAAATGCTATAGTTTTTAAATTGAAATTAAACATATCTTTCGTTGGTTCGAATGCAATGCAATCGCCATGCTTGTTTAACGTACAAGATAGAAGCTAAATGTTTATTTATCAACCGGGGCTAATGCGTCACGATACTTTAAGCGGCATTTTTAACTGATCATATTAATTTAGTTGTATAATTTAAAACAATGTGAATTAAAACATATAACACATTATTTAATAAAATTTTATATTTAAATATTATTTCGTGATATTTTTAAAACCCTTGCTTGAAAACACCCATTCTTTACAAGTTGAGATTTTTAGACGCAAAAGCCCCAGGTGGGGCAAAGGCGTCTTTAGCAAGTACCGCATAATAGGAAGCCTTCGTAACACAATTAATCGAAAAAATATATTAGATCGCTCATGATATAGCTAGTTATCATTTTATAAGCGATATTCTTGGCTTGGTCTCTCCTATTAAGTCGAACAAAAAAATTTGGGGCTATGGCGTCAAATTTATACTTTAAGTGGTAGACGCATTCGCCCCATCCTAAATTCCAGAGGTATCAAACGATTTTTTTCTCATTACTTGTGAGAAAAAAAAGTTGCCATTGACATAATTTGCAAACAAGTTCCACTTTTATACACCTAGCATTTATAAATAGAAAAAAAAAAACAAACACATTGAAGTTAGGTAAATAGTGTATAATAAAAATACGAGTTCTAATAGAAAATAAAAAAGCGAATACAAAAAAGTATGAGATGTTTTATTTAGTTAATACTGTCATCATTACTAAATTCTTAATAATCAGTTTTTTAAATAGTGTAATCTTACATACCTATTGTATGTTGAATGTTGTATGTAAAAATTTGACTTTAATTGTGTAACATTCGCTAGGTGTGAAGTACCTTAACAAACATTATTATTAATTAATATTAGTTTCATTATCATTGTTATCACAATAATCAGGTAATGAGATCACATGCAATTTTATAGATATTGTCACTCTCACTCAGGTCCTCTTAATTACTAAATTAATTTGACAATCACTGAATGTTATACATTTTAAAATTTTCTTTGAAAGTAATATGCCCTCTTCGAGATATATCAGGCTTTTCAAGGAACATTATGATATCATCATCATTCTTTACTTCTGATATATCCTCCACGTCTGGATAATGAAAGGAAACAAATTTACTATTTTTTATTTTTCTTAAAAATTTGACGTTAGGAATGTTATTGTCATTAATAGAAATGATGGTCCCCACAAAATACTTCACAGACTTTTTTGTTGTGGATCTTACTAGTATCCAATCACTAACTTCTAGGTTCTTTTTGTTTAAATTCGGTTCAAATTGTTCAATATTTGTAGTGTCTACATCATTATTTACGTAAGATTTGTCATTTTCTTTTTCTTCTGTTGTGGCTTGCAACAAATCTTCGAGAAAGTTATCATCACTTTTTATTTCCGCTAAAAAGTTTTCACGATAGGTATCAAAATCTTCATCAGAAAGTTCAGCAGAACCGGAAACTTCAGCAAAACTAATATCTAATTCACTTTCAGATTCTTCGTCATAATCAAAACACTTCTTTTGTTTCTTAGCTTTCTTTTTAACATTTTTATTAGGTTTTTGCTTAGATAAGCTCTTACTACAAGGTTTTTTTTAATATCTTTGCTTTCATCAGTCTCATCTTGTTGTTGTAATTTTATACAATTTCTTTTTCGATTTTGGTCCAATTTTTTTTTATATATTTTGTTTTGGGGATTTTTATGGCAGTTCTTTCCTTTTCTTGCTTTATTTTTTCTTCGTATCGTTTTTTTTCTATAAACTGTTCTCGCGTTATTATTTCACACCCCCTAGCAATTTTAGTTTTTTTCAATTTTATTGTCGAGTCACTTTTCTTTATTGTCTGCAATAATAAAGTTTCGAAAGAAACTCTTTCCGAGGGAGCCAAAATTCTATCTTCAATAATTCTAATTACCTTTGAATCATTAGACTTATCAAATTTCATCTCCTGGTTTGGCAAAACTAATTTTGATGACGCTGCTATGGGATTTTTGCTAATGCTCAACTCTTGGGTAACGGCCGCCAAACTTAACTTTTTTAATGTCTGAATCTGTTTTGGTATCGTTTTATGTTCCCTGAACCTTTTCAATGATTCTGGATCAAATTTTTCGTCTGCAACTACGTTTCTGTCAAATGGATATATGCCCCCTTTTTTAAAGCCACTTCTAATTATTTTTGTGTCTAATTCACACCACACTTCTCCAAGAAGGCGACTAAACTCATCTTTTGGCAATTTAGTGCCCACATTTAACCGTTGCCAATGCACAAGTTTTGCATCCCAAGTGTTTTTCATTGATTTAAAAACTGATAAATCTAATGGCTGCAGAAGATGGCTTGCATGTGATGGTAATTTTATAATAGTTACGCCTCGTTTTTGTGCTTCTTCTAAAATTTTAAGTTGGATATGGGTAGAATGGCCATCAAATATTAATAAAGCGGGTGGATCTTCACTTAAACGCGGTAGCACTGTGTTCAACATGTACTTTTCAAATACTTTTGCATCGATCCATCCATTTTTAGTGGCAGCATAGGATGTGTTTTCAAATCCTTTATCTGAGAGCCATTGGTCCCACGTATTTTTTCCTCTGTGTATAATCAACGGTGGTAATTTGTCACCGATTGCGTTGACTGTGAACAAAATTGTGACATTATCTTTTCCAGATGACGCGATTGTGCGTGTACTGGCACATCCACGGGCTCCAACCACTTTTGTTCGTTCGGGATCTTTTCCAAAACTTGACTCGTCAAGGTTCCAAATTTTATCAGGTCTTCCTTTTAAATTAAGTTCACTCAAAACTCCATCAAGAGTATCAAAATACTCATTAACAATAAAAGGGTCACATGCCACTTTTCTTGACATTTCCACCGCCTGAGGTCTTTTTAAGGACAAATTGTGCCTCTTCTTGAAGGCAGCAAACCAATCATAACCGGGTCTGTTGTTTTTGAATGGTGTTTTGTAGTTATTTTCACTCACGTGTACGGCAACTAAATCTAGCGTTTCTTTGGAAGTGAGTCCGAACCCATATTTTTCCATAACCCGTAAACCATTTGCAAGTTTGAGCTCATTTTCTCTGTCAATCACTGTAGGTGGTCCTCGGCTCTCCTTTACGATACCTTTTTTGTTATTTACTCTATCACATATAGTCATACGAGGAATGTTATACTTTTTTGCAGCTTGGTACGAATTTATTTTGCCAGTTTTGACTTCATCTACTGCTTTCTTTAAGGTTTCAAGATCGTAAGTTGGTGTTATTTATTCTTTTATATGAACGAACCATTTTAAAAAATCTAAAAGAAAAATTTAGGTTTAATTACAAAGACCATCTAGAAAAATGTGTCAAATAAACAGTGAAATTACCCAAAAAAAAAAACTTCAAATATTACAAACAATATATTTCGTTTGTAATATTTAAAGTAATTCCGTTTCACTCGCGAGAAACCACCTACTTGTTCCAAAGTCTGTTAAAAGCCTATTATGTATTTATTAATCCAGGGTCTAATCTATCTCCATACCAAATTTCATCAAAATCTGTTCTTTCGTTTAGGCGTGAAAGAGTAACAAACATGCATATATTCATCCATCCATATATAAGTAGGGTATAACTATATTTAAAAAAATGATTTTAGTGTATATGTATTTAGATCAATTATTGCATTATTGTTATCTTAAAATAAAAAGGTTTAGGACCTCATACAATGGGGCTATTGCGTTACAATAGACGCAATCACCCCAATAAGGCAGACGCGATAGCCCCGATAAAGAAACATAACCTAAAATATTTTAACTGCACGTGGACAATTAATCTTTAGGCCTTTACTAAAAATAATTAAAACAAACCGTAAAACATTTCAGAATGAAAGGTACTTACAGGTAAAAAACACCGATAGTCTAGAAAACACTGAGATTTAAGGGGATTCAATAACCACATATCACTAACGCGAGCTTCGAAGTGAAGTGACATATTCAAGATGGCGAAAATTTAAACAAAAATGAGGCCAGTATCGACATCTACTAATTAAATATTTTAGTCTGGTGCTAAATATGTTTAAAAGATGGCGTGAGTAGTTCTTAAATTCGTATTTCATATGATATTTGAATGTGACGCCTTAACCCCTAAGACGCCTTAGCCCCGGTTGACCTTAAATCTGTTTCGTGTTTTTGTCTTAATTAAATTTATTTTAGAGAATATTCTTTCGCATGTTGAATCCACTCATGTTTTGTTGATGTTTACTAGTGGCGGCATGCTTCTTTAAGCGGACAGCCGGGGTGCCGGATTGCAGTTACAGTACACAGTCTGGATCATCTTTAGCTTTTGAGATCCATGATGAAAATAAAAGATCTTGCTTCCACTTCGCTCTATACGCCCTTTCTTATTTTCGCTTCATCACCGCCACCTATAATTACTATCGTCCACGAAATATTATTAACAAGATTTCATGGTGATAATGAAGTCAAATTCTATACCATACTAAAGTACGTCTCTTTTATGACTGATTGAAATACGAGTATTAACCAACTCGTGTTAAGATTATCAACTTTATACACAATTTTTTTTAAAGTTGTTTATTGAATGTGATACAAGCATAATACGAGAAATCGAGAAATACAGGGAAATCCCCAACATGCTGGCGAAGTATTTAGGGTTGTCATTTTCGTCATTTTAAGTTGCCATAATGAAATATATTTTTAATACCCCAATACTGCCAAATACTGCCAGGTTTAATAAAACGTTAACCGATCATGCCACAGGCTAAAATAAGAGGCCAATCCGGCCAAAATGGCAGGAACCTGCCACATATGGTCACACTGATCACTACGTTTAACCGGACTTTTCTCTTGTTATTTTTTTTTTGGTGTTTATGGCCTGGTATCTAGACCTTTCGGCCATTCTCTTGTTATTTATCACAGAATACACACAATTTTTTATAATCACAGAACACTATTACTCCTAACACTCCTTGGTATAGAAAGATACTCTGTGACTCCTAAAATTTATAATGCGCCCAACGCGTAGTGTTTCTATATAGTTTGTGTTTTGTTTGTGGCCCAGCGTAGGCTCAGGCAAAAAATACCGATATATTAGTGATGAGTCAACTCGAGTTGCGCTTAACTCGAGTTAACTCGATTTGTATCTCCCCAACTCGAGTTTGGGCTGCTGTACATGAAGGAATCAAGTGAGCCAACATAAAAGTAAGAGCGCGATTCGTTCGTTGTGTGCGCGCTTTGTGTTTCAAATAGTATTTAGTTACAGTCAAAACAATTTTTTATTTAGAGATTTATAATAGCTAAGTTACATATGTAATTTAATTTCATTTATAATTTTGATTAATTATGATCATTACAGCTACGTAAATCACAGACCTATTATTGTAATACCTGAAAAGGATGGTTAAGTTGTAAGATACATCATACTTTAAATTAACGCCAAACACTTAACTTAGAATAAATATTTTGAATTTGAAAAAGTTTGAACTTATTGAAGAATATTTTAACTGTGATAATTAATCTATTAATAGGTTATGTACTTACATCTTAAAGCTAGACTAATATTTTTTCTTGAAGGCTGCTATATAAGTTGTTTTGTTGTTAAATACAGGTACTTTAACTAATATTAAAACCAAAAATACATAAGTATGTGATACATACTAAATATACATTTTCATTTCAATCCTACACAATAAGTTTGGTAATTTTTAAATAAAACTAATTTTACGGATTTTATCGCGTATATTAACTTATTTTATATTCCCGACGTTTCAAGTACTTTACAGCACTCATGTTCACGGGGGGGACTGAGGTGTATGACGTCCCAATGTCATAGTTAACCACGGCTACCTCCAGATTAAAAATTATTAATTTTTTTTTTTTTTTTTAATTTTTGTTCCGATCTACGCAGTATGAACTTACAGTATCATGAAGTCTTGCAGTTGTATGCTTGGGTTGGGATTTAATTTTATTAATTATGGGATCCCAAGCAGATGGTAGCACCCAGCCATCTTCTCTATTGAAATTAGGATGTTTCTTGATTTCAATAGCCTCGCGAATCATCCTTGGAAGGAATCGGTGTTCTTTAGCGAGGATTTGTGGTCTATCAAATCTAATGTAGTGACGGGGGCGATCCTGTACATGTTCACAGACTGCAGACTTCCCGGAGCGTCTATTCTTCACATCAGCATCAGCGGTTTTGGCGCTGAACTTCGACGTAACATAGACGAAATGTCTTGACGTATCGCTTCCAAATCTTCCTTTCGCATATTGTTTTTAAATAAACAGTCCTCGACACTACAGATAATTTCTTCGTACGGTAATTTTTTAGGTGTTAAAGCAAAATTTAGGCCTTTCGACAATACTCTAATTGTTGCATCATCCAGAGTTTGTTTTGACAGATTATAGACCGCGCTTAATCTATGATCCGCGTTCGTAGTCAATGGTTGCGTTTCGTTCTCACGTTGACTCAGATGTTTGACATTTAATTTGGTCGTTAATTTTTGATATTTTACTATATGTTTGTTTTTGCATTCGTTATATTTATTAATTTCTCGTTTATTTAACATTTCGATGCAAACATTATAATCAAATGTCGTTAAAACTGCCTTTAACTCACTGAATGATGTGTCTATGGATTTGTTTATGGTATGTAGATCGGAGCGTTTTTGTTGGATTACCGTTCGTAACAACTTTTTACTTGCCTGATTTAAGATCTTAGCGCTTCCTCGAATGTCCTTTTTAGTGGATATTTTGACACACGTAGGAATGATATTATTGTCGCGACATCTCTTCAGAAAGTTTAATGCTGTTAGATATCTTGCGCGCTTAGTCATGAGATCTTCTAATCGGCGAATTTTATTTGCAATTACCAGTCCGTACTGGTTCACATAATGATTTCTTATATTTACGCGAACACTACACATTTAAATAAAACTAATTTTACGGATTTTATCGCGTATATTAACTTATTTTATATTCCCGACGTTTCAAGTACTTTACAGCACTCATGGTCACGGGGGGGACTGAGGTGTATGACGTCCCAATGTCATAGTTAACCACGGCTACCTCCAGATTAAAAATTATTAATTTTTGTTCCGATCTACGCAGTATGAACTTACAGTATCATGAAGTCTTGCAGTTGTATGCTTGGGTTGGGATTTAATTTTATTAATTATGGGATCCCAAGCAGATGGTAGCACCCAGCCATCTTCTCTATTGAAATTAGGATGTTTCTTGATTTCAATAGCCTCGCGAATCATCCTTGGAAGGAATCGGTGTTCTTTAGCGAGGATTTGTGGTCTATCAAATCTAATGTAGTGACGGGGGCGATCCTGTACATGTTCACAGACTGCAGACTTCCCGGAGCGTCTATTCTTCACATCAGCTATGTGTTCTTTAACGCGGGTTTTGATAGATCTTTTAGTTTGTCCTATATAAGAGAGACCACATTCACAATCAAGCTTGTACACTCCTGCATCTTGCAGAGGAATATTACACTTGACTGATGGTAAAAACTGACTAATCTTCTTCGGCGGCTTGAAATATGTTTTAATGGACGCACGCTTCAAGATGTAGCCAATCTTGTCAGTGACACCTCTGACATATGGCAGTACAGCAGGCACTCGCTCGACTGTGGCCGGCTTCACTCGTTCACTGTGACGTAGGCGCGGGACCCGAAGCTTATTGTCGTGCAAAACTTGCTTGACGTGTTGGAGCTCGGCGGCCAGATGTTTACTGTCACAGATCCCTCGTGCTCTCTGAAACAAAGATTTACCCACGGTAGCTAACTGTGAAGGATGGTGGTGAGAATCACCGTTTAAATATCTATCTGTATGGGTCTTTTTTCTATACACAGTGTGGCTCAAGGTGTTATCAGGATTCCGAATTACTAACACATCTAGAAAAGCTAAAGAATTGTTTGCCTCTAACTCCATTGTGAACTGAATTTTAGAATTTAAGGAGTTAAGATGGTCTAGAAATGCAGTTACTTTATCTAAAGGGAGAATTGTGAAAGTGTCGTCTACATACCGCTTGTAGAATCTTGGTTTTACGGGAGAAGTACGCAGGGCTTTCTCCTCAAAGTCCTCCATGAATATATCGGCAACAATGGGAGATACAGGTGAGCCCATCGCCACTCCATCTACTTGCTTGTAGAACTCCTCCTTCCACAATAGGTAGCCAGATGTAAGGCAGTGTCTAAGTAATACTGCCTATTCTACGGGCATGTTGTTTTGCTCTAGCCTTCTAGTAACAATCGAGATGCAGTCTTCAACAGGTAAGCATGTGAACAGAGACTGCACATCAAAACTGACCATAGTTTCATTGTCTGCCAGATGTAGGTCTTTAATCTCGCTGACAAAATGGTAGGAATCCTTTGTGTGTGCTCTTGTATGTCCCTTGAGCGGTGAGAGTATATTCGCTAAGTGTTGAGCCAATTTGTAAGTTGGTGAATCGATTTGGCTCACTATAGGACGTAGTGGAGCATTGGGCTTGTGTATTTTTGGTAACCCATACAACTTCGGTGGTTTGGCACACGTAGGTATTATCGATTTTACGTCTAGATTTAATCTTTCGGAGTGTTTCTTTATGAGATCACTAGTTGTTTTGAGTGTGTTATTTGTTGGGTCATTTTTAACCTTTTTATAAGTACTTGCATCCGACAAAAGTTCTTGTATTTTAGAATTATAATCCGACGTATCCATGACTACCGTGGCATTTCCCTTATCTGCGCGGAGAATCGTGAGTTCTCGTTTATTGCGTAGGTTATTCAACGCTTTAAATTCGTCTTTAGGTAGATTCGGTTTTGGCGCTGAACTTCGACGTAACATAGACGAAATGTCTTGACGTATCGCTTCCAAATCTTCCTTTCGCATATTGTTTTTAAATAAACAGTCCTCGACACTACAGATAATTTCTTCGTACGGTAATTTTTTAGGTGTTAAAGCAAAATTTAGGCCTTTCGACAATACTCTAATTGTTGCATCATCCAGAGTTTGTTTTGACAGATTATAGACCGCGCTTAATCTATGATCCGCGTTCGTAGTCAATGGTTGCGTTTCGTTCTCACGTTGACTCAGATGTTTGACATTTAATTTGGTCGTTAATTTTTGATATTTTACTATATGTTTGTTTTTGCATTCGTTATATTTATTAATTTCTCGTTTATTTAACATTTCGATGCAAACATTATAATCAAATGTCGTTAAAACTGCCTTTAACTCACTGAATGATGTGTCTATGGATTTGTTTATGGTATGTAGATCGGAGCGTTTTTGTTGGATTACCGTTCGTAACAACTTTTTACTTGCCTGATTTAAGATCTTAGCGCTTCCTCGAATGTCCTTTTTAGTGGATATTTTGACACACGTAGGAATGATATTATTGTCGCGACATCTCTTCAGAAAGTTTAATGCTGTTAGATATCTTGCGCGCTTAGTCATGAGATCTTCTAATCGGCGAATTTTATTTGCAATTACCAGTCCGTACTGGTTCACATAATGATTTCTTATATTTACGCGAACACTACACATTTAAATAAAACTAATTTTACGGATTTTATCGCGTATATTAACTTATTTTATATTCCCGACGTTTCAAGTACTTTACAGCACTCATGTTCACGGGGGGGACTGAGGTGTATGACGTCCCAATGTCATAGTTAACCACGGCTACCTCCAGATTAAAAATTATTAATTTTTTTTTTTTTTTTTTTTTTTTTAATTTTTGTTCCGATCTCCGCAGTATGAACTTACAGTATCATGAAGTCTTGCAGTTGTATGCTTGGGTTGGGATTTAATTTTATTAATTATGGGATCCCAAGCAGATGGTAGCACCCAGCCATCTTCTCTATTGAAATTAGGATGTTTCTTGATTTCAATAGCCTCGCGAATCATCCTTGGAAGGAATCGGTGTTCTTTAGCGAGGATTTGTGGTCTATCAAATCTAATGTAGTGACGGGGGCGATCCTGTACATGTTCACAGACTGCAGACTTCCCGGAGCGTCTATTCTTCACATCAGCTATGTGTTCTTTAACGCGGGTTTTGATAGATCTTTTAGTTTGTCCTATATAAGAGAGACCACATTCACAATCAAGCTTGTACACTCCTGCATCTTGCAGAGGAATATTACACTTGACTGATGGTAAAAACTGACTAATCTTCTTCGGCGGCTTGAAATATGTTTTAATGGACGCACGCTTCAAGATGTAGCCAATCTTGTCAGTGACACCTCTGACATATGGCAGTACAGCAGGCACTCGCTCGACTGTGGCCGGCTTCACTCGTTCACTGTGACGTAGGCGCGGGACCCGAAGCTTATTGTCGTGCAAAACTTGCTTGACGTGTTGGAGCTCGGCGGCCAGATGTTTACTGTCACAGATCCCTCGTGCTCTCTGAAACAAAGATTTACCCACGGTAGCTAACTGTGAAGGATGGTGGTGAGAATCACCGTTTAAATATCTATCTGTATGGGTCTTTTTTCTATACACAGTGTGGCTCAAGGTGTTATCAGGATTCCGAATTACTAACACATCTAGAAAAGCTAAAGAATTGTTTGCCTCTAACTCCATTGTGAACTGAATTTTAGAATTTAAGGAGTTAAGATGGTCTAGAAATGCAGTTACTTTATCTAAAGGGAGAATTGTGAAAGTGTCGTCTACATACCGCTTGTAGAATCTTGGTTTTACGGGAGAAGTACGCAGGGCTTTCTCCTCAAAGTCCTCCATGAATATATCGGCAACAATGGGAGATACAGGTGAGCCCATCGCCACTCCATCTACTTGCTTGTAGAACTCCTCCTTCCACAATAGGTAGCCAGATGTAAGGCAGTGTCTAAGTAATACTGCATATTCTACGGGCATGTTGTTTTGCTCTAGCCTTCTAGTAACAATCGAGATGCAGTCTTCAACAGGTAAGCATGTGAACAGAGACTGCACATCAAAACTGACCATAGTTTCATTGTCTGCCAGATGTAGGTCTTTAATCTCGCTGACAAAATGGTAGGAATCCTTTGTGTGTGCTCTTGTATGTCCCTTGAGCGGTGAGAGTATATTCGCTAAGTGTTGAGCCAATTTGTAAGTTGGTGAATCGATTTGGCTCACTATAGGACGTAGTGGAGCATTGGGCTTGTGTATTTTTGGTAACCCATACAACTTCGGTGGTTTGGCACACGTAGGTATTATCGATTTTACGTCTAGATTTAATCTTTCGGAGTGTTTCTTTATGAGATCACTAGTTGTTTTGAGTGTGTTATTTGTTGGGTCATTTTTAACCTTTTTATAAGTACTTGCATCCGACAAAAGTTCTTGTATTTTAGAATTATAATCCGACGTATCCATGACTACCGTGGCATTTCCCTTATCTGCGCGGAGAATCGTGAGTTCTCGTTTATTGCGTAGGTTATTCAACGCTTTAAATTCGTCTTTAGGTAGATTCGGTTTTGGCGCTGAACTTCGACGTAACATAGACGAAATGTCTTGACGTATCGCTTCCAAATCTTCCTTTCGCATATTGTTTTTAAATAAACAGTCCTCGACACTACAGATAATTTCTTCGTACGGTAATTTTTTAGGTGTTAAAGCAAAATTTAGGCCTTTCGACAATACTCTAATTGTTGCATCATCCAGAGTTTGTTTTGACAGATTATAGACCGCGCTTAATCTATGATCCGCGTTCGTAGTCAATGGTTGCGTTTCGTTCTCACGTTGACTCAGATGTTTGACATTTAATTTGGTCGTTAATTTTTGATATTTTACTATATGTTTGTTTTTGCATTCGTTATATTTATTAATTTCTCGTTTATTTAACATTTCGATGCAAACATTATAATCAAATGTCGTTAAAACTGCCTTTAACTCACTGAATGATGTGTCTATGGATTTGTTTATGGTATGTAGATCGGAGCGTTTTTGTTGGATTACCGTTCGTAACAACTTTTTACTTGCCTGATTTAAGATCTTAGCGCTTCCTCGAATGTCCTTTTTAGTGGATATTTTGACACACGTAGGAATGATATTATTGTCGCGACATCTCTTCAGAAAGTTTAATGCTGTTAGATATCTTGCGCGCTTAGTCATGAGATCTTCTAATCGGCGAATTTTATTTGCAATTACCAGTCCGTACTGGTTCACATAATGATTTCTTATATTTACGCGAACACTACACATTTAAATAAAACTAATTTTACGGATTTTATCGCGTATATTAACTTATTTTATATTCCCGACGTTTCAAGTACTTTACAGCACTCATGGTCACGGGGGGGACTGAGGTGTATGACGTCCCAATGTCATAGTTAACCACGGCTACCTCCAGATTAAAAATTATTAATTTTTGTTCCGATCTACGCAGTATGAACTTACAGTATCATGAAGTCTTGCAGTTGTATGCTTGGGTTGGGATTTAATTTTATTAATTATGGGATCCCAAGCAGATGGTAGCACCCAGCCATCTTCTCTATTGAAATTAGGATGTTTCTTGATTTCAATAGCCTCGCGAATCATCCTTGGAAGGAATCGGTGTTCTTTAGCGAGGATTTGTGGTCTATCAAATCTAATGTAGTGACGGGGGCGATCCTGTACATGTTCACAGACTGCAGACTTCCCGGAGCGTCTATTCTTCACATCAGCTATGTGTTCTTTAACGCGGGTTTTGATAGATCTTTTAGTTTGTCCTATATAAGAGAGACCACATTCACAATCAAGCTTGTACACTCCTGCATCTTGCAGAGGAATATTACACTTGACTGATGGTAAAAACTGACTAATCTTCTTCGGCGGCTTGAAATATGTTTTAATGGACGCACGCTTCAAGATGTAGCCAATCTTGTCAGTGACACCTCTGACATATGGCAGTACAGCAGGCACTCGCTCGACTGTGGCCGGCTTCACTCGTTCACTGTGACGTAGGCGCGGGACCCGAAGCTTATTGTCGTGCAAAACTTGCTTGACGTGTTGGAGCTCGGCGGCCAGATTTTTACTGTCACAGATCCCTCGTGCTCTCTGAAACAAAGATTTACCCACGGTAGCTAACTGTGAAGGATGGTGGTGAGAATCACCGTTTAAATATCTATCTGTATGGGTCTTTTTTCTATACACAGTGTGGCTCAAGGTGTTATCAGGATTCCGAATTACTAACACATCTAGAAAAGCTAAAGAATTGTTTGCCTCTAACTCCATTGTGAACTGAATTTTAGAATTTAAGGAGTTAAGATGGTCTAGAAATGCAGTTACTTTATCTAAAGGGAGAATTGTGAAAGTGTCGTCTACATACCGCTTGTAGAATCTTGGTTTTACGGGAGAAGTAATTCGGAATCCTGATAACACCTTGAGCCACACAGTGTATAGAAAAAAGACCCATACAGATAGATATTTAAACGGTGATTCTCACCACCATCCTTCACAGTTAGCTACCGTGGGTAAATCTTTGTTTCAGAGAGCACGAGGGATCTGTGACAGTAAACATCTGGCCGCCGAGCTCCAACACGTCAAGCAAGTTTTGCACGACAATAAGCTCCGGGTCCCGCGCCTACGTCACAGTGAACGAGTGAAGCCGGCCACAGTCGAGCGAGTGCCTGCTGTACTGCCATATGTCAGAGGACTGTTTATTTAAAAACAATATGCGAAAGGAAGATTTGGAAGCGATACGTCAAGACATTTCGTCTATGTTACGTCGAAGTTCAGCGCCAAAACCGAATCTACCTAAAGACGAATTTAAAGCGTTGAATAACCTACGCAATAAACGAGAACTCACGATTCTCCGCGCAGATAAGGGAAATGCCACGGTAGTCATGGATACGTCGGATTATAATTCTAAAATACAAGAACTTTTGTCGGATGCAAGTACTTATAAAAAGGTTAAAAATGACCCAACAAATAACACACTCAAAACAACTAGTGATCTCATAAAGAAACACTCCGAAAGATTAAATCTAGACGTAAAATCGATAATACCTACGTGTGCCAAACCACCGAAGTTGTATGGGTTACCAAAAATACACAAGCCCAATGCTCCACTACGTCCTATAGTGAGCCAAATCGATTCACCAACTTACAAATTGGCTCAACACTTAGCGAATATACTCTCACCGCTCAAGGGACATACAAGAGCACACACAAAGGATTCCTACCATTTTGTCAGCGAGATTAAAGACCTACATCTGGCAGACAATGAAACTATGGTCAGTTTTGATGTGCAGTCTCTGTTCACATGCTTACCTGTTGAAGACTGCATCTCGATTGTTACTAGAAGGCTAGAGCAAAACAACATGCCCGTAGAATATGCAGTATTACTTAGACACTGCCTTACATCTGGCTACCTATTGTGGAAGGAGGAGTTCTACAAGCAAGTAGATGGAGTGGCGATGGGCTCACCTGTATCTCCCATTGTTGCCGATATATTCATGGAGGACTTTGAGGAGAAAGCCCTGCGTACTTCTCCCGTAAAACCAAGATTCTACAAGCGGTATGTAGACGACACTTTCACAATTCTCCCTTTAGATAAAGTAACTGCATTTCTAGACCATCTTAACTCCTTAAATTCTAAAATTCAGTTCACAATGGAGTTAGAGGCAAACAATTCTTTAGCTTTTCTAGATGTGTTAGTAATTCGGAATCCTGATAACACCTTGAGCCA